GGCGCAGCCCGGGTTCCTGCCGGCACCTCTACCTCCACACCTCCCGGCAAGCAGAGGGAGGCAGCTCCGGCCTTAGCCAGCCCAGAGAGGAATCCCACGGTGCTGTGGCGGGCTGAAGGGCTCCTCAAGCGCCGCCAGAGTGGACACCGAGGCCGAGGAGGCGCTGAGAATGAGGGCTGCTAGCATATTGTCACCTCTCAGTGTCACAAAAACCTAGTAAGAAGAACCTTTAGTGTCAAACATCACACAGGGTAAGATGTAGACTGAAAAGAGGTTATTTGACTAGAATCTACAAGGTCTCTGATGATCTTAATGAAAACAATTTCGAAAAATAATGAAGGCAGACAATTAATTATAGTAGATGGAGGAGTGAATTTGGGTTGGGGAAATAGAAAAGATACATGTAGATTATTTTTTTCCAAAAATGCTGGGTATAAAGAGAAGTTCTTTTGATAATTTGTTGTAAAACATTGCCCCTTTCCCTTTTGTGTGTTCCCCACCACTCCCCTGCTGCCCCCATTTTCTCTTCTCGGCTAATACAGTTCTATTTTAACATCTTAACCCACCCAGTCAATGAACAGGGATAATCTAGGCACACTTGGGAATTGTCCCTGTCAGTGTACCAGCGTTTATTAATAGAAGACTTTGATTCAGCGTTATTCTTTGGCCGCTGAAGGTTTGTTTAGTCACCCTTTTTGGGTGCCTTATTCTTATCTAATATTATGTTATTTTAAAAAAAGTTAGCTTTGAGATTTTTGAAAACAAAAACTAGTTGAAAAATGAGTAGATACACTATGAACCGTTAACATACGTATGTTTAGTGACCTCACTAGATAGGTTTAGACTTATTTTAAACATACTCCTTCCCGTAATTAAATCACTAATCCAAGTATATATGAAGACTTAGTTATGCTTATTGTCTCTGAAGGATCCTTTTCTTTATTTTCTGCCATCCAGCTTCGTGTTCAGTACTTTCGTCCTATGCTAGAATTCACCTTCTGCTTATTATTGTGTAAGGGCTGCTATTCTTACTACAAAAAATTTGTTGCCAGTATTTCTGTTGCTATGGCTGCTGAACTGCTGCTTTGTGCTCTAAAAATCATATTAAGCAAGGTTCCATTTATCGTTGGATTAATTATTAGAGTATGTACTCTTAACTACTTTGAAGGCATTTGACGCTGTGCTTTCCCGCTAACTCTGCTCTGATATTTCCACAGGATCAATGTGATATTTTTTCTATGGCTATACTGTCCATCTCTTTCTTGCCTCCTAGCCACTCAGAGAAGCCTGGTCTCTGAGTAAATTGTGGCTATTTACAGAATTTCTAAGGCTTCACTTATTCTATTGCTTCCTCTTAGCTTTTTGTAAAGGGTAGTTATATACCTCTTAAAGGAAAGCTTGTTGGGGAAAAATAGTTTAGTTACATTTAAAACAAAAACCATTTCTAACTTCCATCACATGCATACTTAATTTACCACATGCACACATATGAAGATATATCTACCTTAAATAATCATTAACACATATAAATGATCGCCAGTATAACACATAAGACATTGCAATTTAGCTTTTCTATTCCAATAATATACAGTGGGCCTTATACCAATAAAGATAATTGGTTTTTTAATTGCACAGTGGGTTTCTAGTTAAAGATTAATATTCTAACCCTCTTTCAAATATACTCTAGTCTAAACCCTTGATTTTAACTCTATTATAGGGTTAAGTCTTCTCTGCTTCTGTCAAAAGCCAGGCTAAGGCAAATTCATCAGGGAAAAACAAGGCTGGAAAACAAATGTAAACTTTGTACTCTTTGAACCTCTTTAAACTTTATCCCTGTATTAAATTTGATCGCAAGAAAAGCTCAACATCTGCTCTTTACAAAGTTACAATTTCGTGGTGAAGCCTTTGGCTTTTTTTCTTTTTAATGAAACTGCTTTCAAAGGCAAGATCCATTATGTTGCTCAACACCCTCCGCAGAAAGAGCCTTGCGACAAATACCTCTCAGAACTGAGGATCAGCAAAGAGATGTTTTGATGAATTAAAGTGTTCTTCTACTAGGCTGTGAGTGCTATCCAGCCCATTCTATTTTTGAGTTTACTTGGCTGTTCCAAGCCTACTATGAAGCCTTGACCTCTACTGCTATAGCTTTTCTCAGGCAATGTTACTGTTAGATAAAAAGCAAAGTAGTAGTTTAATCTTTCTATTCTTTGCTAGCAGTTCTTAATCTTATTTTCTCCATTCTATAATTCTTATTTTTTTGGTCACCTGCTTTAAATGAAGAATAAAGAATATTTACCTTTTTAAAGCCTCCCATTTTTAGTTAGAATTTCTCAAACCCTGACCTTTTTCCAAATGTCTGTGGCATCATCTCCCTTTCCTGTCCTGACACTATTCTTGAACACCATTAGAAAAATAGGCTAAAAGAATATTTTATAGAAGTTCCTTCCTAATCTGTGTATATAAAAATCTATGATTAAGATTTTATGTATCAGAAATATTAGTAGACTAAAAGGTAGTTTAGATATATTTAAGCTGATAGCTTGGTTCATTTAAAATAAATTATTCCATATGATGCTAACACACAATTTGGTAATTTTTGTTTGTTTGTTTTTTAAGGCTCTACCTGAGTAATGTGGGTAAGAAAATGCCTAAATCATGTAATCAGTATTTCCAAGTTTATTAAATGATATGATTTATATGGATAGCAATCAGTTGTCTGCTTAAATTTGCCTTATTTCAATTTCTAATTTAGAAAAGCAGTGTTTGTTATTGGTGATTAATAACCAATTTGTTATTGGTGATTAATTTAAAGGATCACAACATTTTTAAGCGAAGTCAAATTTTATGAGTCAGAAAACTAAAAGTTTTTAAAACAGATAAATGTGGATGTCAAATTCCAATTCTTCATAATTAGAATGTGGTCAATGAATGCATTTTTTAACGTTTGAGAAATGCATTAAACCACTGATTTTCTCAATAACTTTTCACTAAAGAAAGGAGTAATATGCCTAAGTGAGTATTTATTATTGCTTTTTTTTTTTTTACAACAGTTCTAACAGCACTTATTCTTCTGCAGTAAACAGAAGGCCTGTAATGTGACTGCCCATCATTGTAAAGATGCTATAATACTCAATACTCTATCTTCCTTTCCATCTAATTTGAAGGATGTCAGCCCGTTCTGGCACTGAAGAAGAATGACAATTAGTTTGCTTTTTGACTATGATTACTATCTTTCTGCTCTTAAAGACTTCTTTATGATTTGCTTACATTTGATCTTTAGAAGGAATTGCAAACTGAATCCAGACACTGGAAGGTGCTCTGAAGAGGGGGAACCAAAGATGGGGACCTGCATAGGACTGAATAGGCCGGCATATGTAGGATTGAATCAAAGGGCAAGAGTGAAAGTGAGAGACAAATTAAGAAAACTCTTACTCAAATTGTCATGTCTGAAGTTCTGGGACCAGTTCACCTTCTAACAGTATTGGATAGGGCTTCTGCATGGCTTGCTTTAAGAGAAGTGACATTATATGAACACAGACAAACTTCAGCATTTGCTGGAAATAAAAAAAATGCCAGACTAGATTTGACATCAATAAAAAACATTAAATTCTTTCCTCACTTGAATCACCCTATTCAGTTCGACTTGTGTATCAAACAAAGACTGTTAATACCTCACTTCCATAGTCACTGAATTCTTTTACTATGATGAATGTTTGCAGTTAAACTCTATTTATATACTTGCTTAATAAGATTATGGAAAATTACTCAATTTTTTAATTGATTTTTTTTTTCAGACTTGAAAAAGTCTAAGCACATTGATTATGGCCAATTGAATGCATTATGCCACATTAGAGGACAACACAGGTAAGCTTTTCATGCATTTCTTTTTCTGTGATTCAAATGAATATGAGTATTTTTGTTTTAGGGATAAAGTATAGTAATAAACCATTGCTGGCTCTCACAGGTACCTGATTTATCACACAGATAAAAACAGTTGAAAACCTGGAGGTTATTTCTTCAGATTGAAGGGGCAGAATATATATGTCATACCTTAAGGAAACAATTTAGTGTGAAACAAACATAACTCATCCCTAGCTGGCCCTTTCTAGGACTTAAAAAGCAGTCATAAGGGGAAAAGCCTTAAGTGGTTGAAAACACACATACTGAGTGAAGTAAGTACCTGAGCAGTGAATAGGGAATGCCTCGTTGAAATATACTGGAACCAGAGAACTAGGAAATATCACTGTTCAAAGCTCAGGATTCCTAAGATGTGTAATACTTGAAGATTTAGTTTTAAAAGACCTATTTCCTTGACAACTCCTTTCTCCAAGTGGGATTTTCGGAATTATAAAACTGGTTATTTCCTTCCATATCCATCAGTGTCCATCCACCCTCTTACCTTCCTTCACTCATCCTTCATGGGACTGCTGAGGAATGCCTTAGGTTTGCAGAGTTTTCTCTCTCTACTTTAAAACATCTCCAAGTCACATCCTTGTACTTTGCAATCCATTTCAAATTATTTTTATATTGTTGTCTGTCTTCTCATTTCTTCTTTCTCAGAGAGAGAGAAGGCATTCAACTTTGATATTGCTTGGATTTCTGTCAAGAGGGATCATTTTCCCCTGTGCATTGCTGCCTCCTCCTCGCTCCCAGTGCCTTTCGACATAGAGTAAAGAATGAAGTCCACACACTCCCGAGACCTATTGCCTGGTGTGAATCCTGTCTCAGCCTCTTACCCTCTGTGTGACTTTATACTGCTTACTACATTTCTCTGCCTTGGTTTTTTCATTTGTAAAATGGAGATAACAATAGTACTCACTTTAAAGGGTTACTGGGATGATTAAATGAGCCTAATATATGTAAATAGTGTCTGGCACGTAGGGTTCCAGAAGTGTTAGTTATTTTTATTATTGTTGTTATTCAGAAAAGCTCATCCAATATTTTAAGTGTCTTGAAAAATGTTACCATCCAAGCTTTGAATCTATCTTATATGTTGGTCCCTTTTCTAATGCATGAGAAGCTAGTCAAGGCTTTTGGAACTAAATGGCCTTTTTGTTTTCATTTTCCTTTTGCTTTCTGGCCCAGACTCATTTCATTTTTCAAAATACTTCTAGATTTTTTTCTCTTGGGGGATCATAATAAGAGAGATTGAATCATCTAGATCTAGTTCTGTCAAAGTATCCCCTCTAAATAAATGTGATCAGCCTTCCTCTTCCTGGATTGAATCATTCCTCTTGGGCAGTGTCCTCTCATGAGACAATTATCTCATTCAGGTCCAGTCTGGCTGTACTGCCTGACTCCCTCTAGTAAGTCTTATGTTTACTGTGTCTTCTGTTAGAAACCCAAATCCTGAAATTGCTGGATGTGTTCTTTTGGAGCACTGGTACACACTAGGGGCCTGAGGGAACAGGTTTTAAGGTATGTGCATATTGGTTTTGCATCATTCTATTAGAAATACAATATATAGTTACAAATACAAAATCAGATATGAAGATGAATATTTACTTGGAATGAGAATAAAATTACAACAAATTAATAAAAGCTTGGAAGTCCGGTCCTTTTTCTCCCTTGACATTTCTTTTTTGTTTGTTTGTTTGTTTGAGACGAAGTCTGGCTCTGTTGCCCAGGCTGGAGTACAGTGGCGCGATCTCGGCTCACTGCAAGCTCCGCCTCCCGGGTTCACGCCATTCTCCTGCCTCAGCCTCCGGAGAAGCTGGGACTACAGGCGCCCACCACCACACCCGGCTAATTTTTTTGTATTTTTAGTAGAAACGGGGTTTCACCGTGTTTGCCAGGGTGGTCTCCATCTCCTGACCTTGTGATCCGCCCACCTCGGCCTCCCAAAGTGTTGGGATTACAGGCGTGAGCCACTGCACCTGGCCGACATTTCTTTAGACAGTTTACCAGAAATACATTCACAGGATTTATTTAAAAACTTCACAATTCAAGTGATTTCAACAAATTGAGAGGAAATTTAGGAAAAATGTATTTCTCCATATTATTAGTTCTTTATGTATTATAGATGAAAAGTGACCAATAAATTACACTTTTCCCCTATAGTAAAAATAGGAAGGCTGAGAATTAAATGATTCAAGGTTTTACATTTTTGTACATGAAACTCACAAAAGGCATTAGTTTTGATTCTAAAAAAGTTTCTTCTATTAGAATAAGGGCAATAGGTTGGTATATTATCCTAGGATTTTTTTATTGAAGATAAAATAAAAAATTAATAACAAAGGGAGGATGATGTCACTTCAGATTTTTAAATTTTTGAGTGCAAGATTTTTCATCCTAGTAGACTACAAACTCCATGAAGGCAGATTTGTTTTATTTATTTTAGTGCTTCCAACTCCTTGACATTTGGCATAGAGTTCAATGTTTTGCATTGGATTTTATTCTGATGTTCAATAGAAATAAATATCTTCTGATGATTCAAAAAAATGTACAAGACTTTTCTGTGTTGATTATAAATAAGTTAGGATAGATTCAGACTTACAGTTTTTCTTTTTAGTATTGTCTGGAGAGCGAATTCTTTTTAAATATTACTTTTAATCAAAAAATCTTAATTATATGCATATCTGTGGTAAAATGTTTTTGTATAAGTACACAATGTGAAATAATTAAATCAAGATGATTAACATATCCATCACTTCTCTTACTTTTTTGTGATGAGACATTTGAAATTTGCTCTCCTGGCTATTATATAAACAATATATTATTATTAACTGTAGTCACCTGTTGTGCAATACATCTTAAAAACCTTTTACTGTTGTCTAATTGAATCTTTATACCCTTTCATCAACATCTCCACATTCCTCCCCAGCAACCTAGCTCCTAGTAACCACCATTCTACTCTCTGCTTCCGTGACTTTCATGTTTTCAGATTCCACCTCTATGTGAGATCATATGGTATATGTGTTTCGGTGCCTGCTTTATCTTACTTAGCATAATGTCCTTGATGTTATTCATGCTGTTGCAGAAGAATTTCCTTCTTTTTAAGACTGAACAGTATTCCACTGTGCATAAGTACTACATTTTTTTAAAGCCATTTATTCATTGATGGACGTTTAGGTTGATTTCACATTTTGGCTCTTGTGAAAAGTGCTGCAATAAACATGGGAATGTAGATATCTCTTCAACATATTGATTTCAGTTTCTTTGGCTAGATACCCAGAAGTGAGGTTCCTACATCATATGTAAATTCTATTTTTAGTCTTTCTGAGGAAATGTCATACTGTTTTCCATAATGGCTGAACTAATTTACATTCCCACTAACAGTGTACCTGTATGAGGGTTCCTTTTAGTTCAGGTCCTCATCAGCACTTACCTTTCTTTTTGATAACAGTCATTCTAACAGATATGAGGTAATATCTCACTGTGGCTTTAGTTTTCATTTCCCCATTGATTACTGCTATTGAGCATTTGTTATTTTTTTTCATGAACACATTGGCTATACATATGTCTTCTTTGGCAAAGTATGTGTTCAAAAACTCTGTCCATTTTTAATCATTTTTTTTTTCCTTGCTACTGAGTAGTTTGAGTTCCTTGTATATTTGGATATTAATTCCTTATTAGATATATAGTTTGCAAATATTTTTCCCATTCTGTAGGTTGTTTCTTCACTTCGTTGATTGTTTCCTTGATTGTGCAGAAGCTTTTAGTTTGATGTAATCTCATTTGATTGTTTTTTCTTTTATTGCCTATGCTTTCAGATCATACTCAATAAATCTTTGCTCAGACCAATGTCGTGGAGATTTTCCCCTATGTTTTATCCTAGCAGTTCTATGTTTAAGTTTTAGATCTTTTGTATTTAATCCATTTTGAGTTTATTTTTGTATATGGTGAGAGGTAAGGGTCTAATTTCATTCTCTGCTGTGGATATCTGGTGTTTTAAAGCACCACTTGTTAGAGAGACTGTCCTTTTTCCATTGTGTGTTCTTGGCAATTTTGTCAATAATCAATTTATTATAACTGTGTGTGTTTATTTCTGGGTTTTCTATCCTGTTCAATTGATCAATGTGTCTGTTTTTATGCCAGCACCATACTGTTTTGATTATACTAGCTTTATAATATATTTTGAATTCAGGGAGTGAGATGCCTTTGGCTTTGCTCTTTTTGCTCGAGACTCTTTGGTTGTTTGGGGTCTTTAGTGGTTCCATACAAATTTTAGAATTGTTTTTTCTATTTTTGTGAAGGTGACATTGGAATTGTGATACAGTTTGCCTTGAATCTGTATATCACTTTTGGTAGTATGGACATTTTAACCATATTAATGGTTCTAATCAGTGAACATGGATATCCTTCTATTTGTGTTTTCAATTTCTTTCATTAGTGTTTCAGTATACAGATCTTTAAACTTTTTTGGTTAAATTCACACTAAGTAGTCTATTTTGTTGTTGCTATCGTAAATAGAATTATTTTTCTAGGATTTTTTTGGGTGGTTTGTATATAGAAGCATGACTAACTTTTGTACATTGATTTTGTATATCCTGCAACTTTACTATATTTATTTATTCTAATAGCTTTTGGTGGAGTCTCTAGGCTTTCATACTTATCAGATTCATCTTGTCTGCAACTAGAGACAGTTTCCCTGCTTCCTTCCCCATTGGGCTGAATTTTTTTTTTTTCTTTCCTTTGCCTAATTGCTCTGGCTACGACTTTCGATACTATGTTGAAAAGAAGTAGTGAAAGTGGGCTTACTTGTCTTGTTCTTGATCTTAGATGAAAAAATTTCAACTTTTCACCTTTGAGTATAGTGTTAGCTGTTGGTTTATCATATATGGCCTTTATTATGTTTATGTACATTCCTTCTGTTGAGAGTTTTTATTATAAAAAAGGTCAAATGCTTACAAAAACTATAACCC